ATACCAGCACTCTGGAGGCAGAGGCAGACATATCTCTGAGTTCCAGGCTAGCCTGATCTACAGAGCCAGTTCCAGGACAGCCAGGTCTACATAGAGAAACCCTTGTCATGAAAAAACAAAACAAAATTAAAGCTATATCTTATCACTTAACTATTAGTTCTCAAAATATCACCATCTGAACCTATTCTCTCCTTTCCTCCTGGCTACAAAGGAGAAAAAAATAGTTCTTCCTATCAAAGAACAATCTCCCCCAATTTGCTATTTTCTGGATCTTCTCCAGTTCCTGCCATCTCTAAAGCAACTTCAACTTCTTTCTCTCCAATGAATGTACCCTTTTAATCCTATCCATCAGCATTTAAATATCAGGGTAAGGGGCTGAAGAGATGGCTCAGCAGTTAAGAGCACTGACTGTTCGTCAAGAGGACCCAGGTTCAATTCCCAGCACCCACATGGCAGCACACAATTGTCTGTAACTCCAGTTCCAGTGGATCGGACACCTTCACTGGAAACCAATGCACACAAAATAAAGTTAAATAAAAGGTCAGGATAATGCATTATGGTGGTACACAACTTTAATTGGAGCACTGGAGAGGCAGAGGCAGAGGCAGGCAAATCTCAATGAGTTCATGGCCAGTCTGATTTATATGGAAAACTCCAGATCAGCCAGGGCTAAATAGAAGGATCAAAGGCAAACAAAACAAAAAGGTTGTCACATTTGAGACTTTTGTAACATATATGCCTGTAATTACTTGGGAGGTAGAGCAAGAGGATCAAGTTCTAAACCAGCTAGGGCTATATAGTGAGACCTTGTCTCACAACAAGTCAGCCAGGTGGTGGTGGCTCATGCCTTTAATCCTGGCACTCCCTGAGGAAGAGGCAGGTGGGTCTCTGTGAGTGGTCCACAGAGGGAGTTCCAGAACAGGCAGAGTGACACAAAGAAACACTGTCTCAAAAACAAAACAAAGCAAAAATTTATAAGTCTGAAAATAACCAACATACATTCAGATCCAGATTTGTACTCAAGACTATTCTCTTTACCCAGATGAATGCCCTTCATTCTTCCAGTTTCTAATACATCCACTACAAACTACCACATACCCACTTCCTCTAAGAACCTTCCAAGACGTCTGTGTCACTAAAATCACTTAATTCCCTTATAGTTTTGGTTGTGAGCCTAGACTTTCCATCCCCAAATCACTTATATCCCAAAGCATTTCTTTGTATTTCACCTGGCACTTTCCTCCATCGCAGTTACTGTATTTACTACTACTCCATCTCCTTAATAGGAATCCACTCCCATATCACAGCTCTAGAGAACAAGTAACATGGCTGCTCTTTTGATTTCTACTTTCTTCCCTCCAATACTTAACTCAGTGATTAGCATACAGAATTCAAACAAACTGTGATTTTTTATAAAGGTCACAACCAAAGTGCTACTGCCTCAAGGTTAAGTATGTCAAGAGTACTCACTAAAGGCTGGGTTTCAGAATACCATGTCACTCTCCTTTTCTATCCACAGATAACTTCCCATTTCCTAAGAGTCTGGGTTATATTTGATAAAAGTGAGAGGATAAGTCTTTTTCTTATAATTATTAGTATCCAATAAAAGCATTAACAAAAACACAATGCGAATTTTGTTTTTAAGGCAAATGTTCTCAAAGTCCACACCTAATAGAAAACCAAAATCTATACTATACACACAAAAAAATTACATGCACAACTGGGTATGATGGCACACACTTGTAATCTCAACACTCAGGAAGCAGAGACAGAAGAGACAATCAACTAGAAATTAAGGACACAAATGATAAATTTTTACTTTTATCCAAGCCCCTGCCCAAACAATGCTTGCTGGGCATGATGGTACATGTCTTTAATCCCAGCTTGACTTATATAGTGAGTTCCAGGAAAGTTAGGGCTACATAGAGAGATCCTGTCTCAAAAAAGGGAAAAGAAAGAAAAAAGAAACAATCATGTAAAATAAAACCAAGTTCCCAAATATTCTCCAAATACAAATAAATGCTGCCTCTTTGGGTACCTGAACATATATACACATAGATAGATGGATAGATATGGATTGTTTGTTTGAAATAGGGTCTCATTTAGTCCAAGCTAGCATCAAACTAGATTTGTAGTTAAGGGTGACCTTGAATTTCTGATCCTCTTGCCTTCATCTCTCAAATTGTAGGAGTGCTGGGATTACAGACATTCAGCACCAAGCCTGGTTTATGTGCTGATGGAGTGATAGCTAAGCACTCTACCCCAACTGAGCTCTATCCCCAGCCCTAGACCTGGAAATAGAAAGCAGGATTAACGCTGTACTTCATTCAGTGACTACTTAGTGTATATAGTAGGTCATACACTATACTAGACTAAGGATTTAAAAACTAAAAGTAGCTTTCATTCTTTAAGATTTTGTTGCAGCTAACCTGACTAGAAGCAGGAGGAAAGAAGAGGGGATAACCTCTTTGTAGGCAAAGAACCTGTGCAACAGCCATGAAAAGGAGGGAGGGAAGGTACCTGGGGAATGGATGTGGACCACATGTAGCTGGAAAATAAGTTTGGGAAACAGAGGTGCAAAACAAAGACATGAATAAGAACATTCAGGGCCTGAGCTGACCTGTAAATTTGTCTCTCAAACTTACAAATAAGGATACTATTTCAGGGCAAATGAAATATCCCAGAAACTTAAGTGCTGACTTCAGCACTAAGAGTATACATATTCAAATAGCCATAAATTCACCATTATAGCTTATATAACTGTAAAATTCAAATTAAATCCAAGTTTAAATTAACAATGTTTTGCAAAAACTAGATTAACATTTAAGTATAAAAATATGTACCTTTAGGACTGATTCATTGTTTGTTTGTTTTAAACTTTTTTGAGACGAGGTCTTTAGTCTTGGCTGTCCTAGAATTCATTTTGTAGACCAGGATGGCCTTGAACTAACAGAAATCTACGTGCCTCTGTCTCCTGAATTAAGAGTATTTATCACTACACCCAGCCTTATATTTTACTTTTGGTATTTTGCAGTGGTCTTCATTGAGTTACATTCCCAGCCCTAGGTTCCATACCTTTGTAATTTTATTTCAATAATACTAATATATAACATGCATAGATATTACATTAAACAGGTTAAATAACTGTAAGCTTTAGCCAAGCATGGTATCATATACCTTTACTCCCTGCACTCCAGAGGCAGAAGCAGAAGGATCTCTTGTGAGTTCAAGAGCAACCTGGCCTATAAGTGAGTTCAAAGAAAGACAGGGTTCTTACAGAGAAACCTTGTCTTGAAAATATAATAACAACTGTAAGCCTTTATATATCTGATCTGATGATACCATATCAGCTTCTAAGATTGTTTATTGTGGTATTCTAACAGTCTTGTTCATCTAGGCTGACCTCAAGTTTACTTCAGTCTCCCAATGTGCTGGAATCACAGGCTTACACCTCCACACCCAGATTTTGCTGGTAATTCTTGGTCTGTTTTCTGTTCTTTTGAGACAGTTTCATGTAGCTCAAATTGGCTTTAAATTGCTAATCCTAGCCAGATGGTGGTGGCGCACGCCTTTAATCCCAGCACTCGGGAGGCAGAGGCAGGCGGATCTCTGTGAGTTCGAGACCAGCCTGGTCTACCGAGCAAGTTCCAGGACAGCCTCCAAAGCCACAGAGAAACCCTGTCTCGAAAAACCAAAAAAAAAAAAAAAAAAAAAAAAAAAGAGTAACTCCAGGGGCTGGAGAGATGGCTCAGAGGTTAAGAGCACTGACTGCTCTTCCAAAGGTCCTGAGTTCAATTCCCAGAAACCACATGGTGGCTCACAACCATCTATAATGAGATCTAGTGCCCTCTTCGGGCCTGCAGACATCCATGCAGACAGAATACTGTATGTATAATAAATACATCTTTTTTTTTTTTTTGTTTGGTTTTACGAGACAGGGTTTCTCTGTATTGTTTGAGGCTGTCAGTCCAGCCCAGCCTCGAACTCACAGAGATCCGCCTGCCTCTGCCTCCCGAGTGCTGGGATTAAAGGCGTGCACCACCAACGCCCAGCATAATAAATACATCTTTAAAAAAAAAGTAACTCCAACATTAAAATACTCTAGAAAACAGGCAGAGTAGAAGATTAGGGTTCAAATTCATCCTCAGCTACACAGTTGAGTTCAAGCCAGCCTGGATTACATAAGACCCAGTCTCAAAATGCCACAAAAACAAAAAGATACAAAATTCAAGTGTGAATTAAATCTAGCTTTTTTTAATTTATCTGTTTTTATTTTATGTGTATTAGTGTTTCACCTACATGTATGTCTGTGTGAGGTTGCCAGATTTCCCAGAACAGAAGTTTTAGACAGTTGTGAGCTGTGATGTGGGTGCTCGGAATTGAACCCAGATCTTCTGGAAGAGCAGCCAATGCTCCTAACCTCTGAGCCATTTCTCCAGCCCCTTAAATCTAGCTTATTAATTACAGTTTATAGAAAATGCAAGGAAAAGAACATACTACATGAATCCAAAGAGATACACTCAGCACAATCCAGGCTGTGGAATTTCAAAGGCCTGACTCCCCACACGAGAGACAGACAGATCCACATGAGCTCCAAGACAGCCAGGGATATATAGCAAGTGTCTCAAATAAGCAAACAAACAAATAAAATTTTTAGGAAAAAAACCCACAGCAGATATTGGTAGCACACAACTTTAATCCCAGCACTCAGGAAACAGGCAGGTGGATCTCTGCGTTTGAGGCTAGCCTGGTCTTCAGAACAAGTTCGAGGACAGCCAGAGTTGTTACACAGAGACATCCTGTCTAAAAAAGGAGGAGGAGGAGGAGGAGGAGGAGGAGGAGGAGGAGGAGGAGGAGGAGAAACTTAAAACAAAACTGGTCCATAGTAATCCCTGAATTTAAGAGGTAGATGAAAAAGGATTAGAAATTTAAGGCCAGGCCACTCACTCATCCATCATCATGCCAAGTCTGCTAAGGAGTAGCCATGAAGCAACCTGAAGAAATTTATGGACAAGTTATCATTGAAGTTAAATGGTGACAGACATGTACAAAAAATACTACCGGGCTTTGATCTCGAGATTGATGAGTATTGAGATGACAACTAGTGGGCAACAAATAACATTGCAATGGTGGTCATAGGAGGAAACAGCATCATCATGTTAGAAGCCTTAGAAAGAGTCTAAATAATGGCTGTTCAGAGAGGAGTATACATCCCTCCCTAAAGGGCCTGTTTGACTGTGGTGTAGAACTGGGTCATGTACTTTTTTTTTTTTTTTGGTTTTACGAGACAGGGTTTCCTCTGTATTGTTTTGGAGGCTGTCCTGGAACTCACTCTGTAGACCAGGCTGGCCTCGAACTCACAGAGATCCGCCTGCCTCTGCCTCCCGAGTGCTGGGATTAAAGGCGTGCGCCACCAACGCCCGGCGGGTCATGTACATTTTTATTTGAAACTTTTTGCTACATAAACTTTAGTGATACTCAGAAAAACAAGCTGAGCAGTGGTGGCTCCCAACTTTAATCCCAGCACCAGGGAGGCCAAGGCAGTAGGATCTCTGTGATTCAAAGAAAGACAAGGCTGTTAGAGATCCGCCCCCTTAAAAAAGACAGAAATTCAAGGCCAGCACCAACCACACCAGCAACACCTCCAGTTTGAGGACAACTACATGAGACCCTCTCAAATTTTTTAAAAATCTTACTAAGATAAAAAGTAATTCCAGCCGGGCATTGGTGGCGCACGCCTTTAATCCCAGCTCTCGGGAGGCAGAGGCAGGTGGATCTCTGTGAGTTTGAGACCATCCTGGTCTACAAGAGCTAGTTCCAGGACCGCCTCCAAAGCCACAGAGAAACCCTGTCTCGAAAAACAAACAAGCAAACAAAAAAGTAATTCCAACATTAAAATACTCTAGTATGGCACTCAATTTACTTAGCTTTCCCTCTCTTGGTATGTCAGTATCACCAAAATTCTCAAGGTGTAGCCAGGCATAGTGGTGTATGTCTATATAATACTAGAACTCAACCATCTACAATTCAATCTGGTGCCCTCTTCTGGTATGTAGGCAGAACACTGTATATGTGATAAATAAATAAATCTTAAAAATAAATAAATAAAACAAAGAAGAAAGTATCAACAGGGAAGTGTAGCTACTTTGTCTCGAACCTTTAACTACAATGTATTTTACAATAACTGAGACTGGCAAACACCCTCCCAGAAATAAAATCATTGTTTCAACTTATCAGAGGAAATAAAAAGGGAAGCAGTAAGAAATGAGGGTTACAGAAAGCTGTGAAACCTTTTTATCTAGCATGTAAGTAGAATAGAGACATAGCAAACAAAACAAGTCAAAAAACAAAACAAAACCAGGCATAGTGAAGAATGCTTGTAATCCCTGGCAATTGGGAGGTCAAAGGAGAACTGCTACCAATATGAGGCTTCTGTGTTCAGGTTGTACCTTCAATACTTAAGAATATACCTCTTTAGCACACACCTTTAGCACACAGCACTTGGGAGGCAGAGGCAGGTGGATATCTATGAGTTCCAGGCCAGTCTAGTCTACATAACAAGTTCCAATCCAGTCAGAAACACAAAGTGAGATCCTGTCTCAAAAACAAATAAAAAAACTTCTTTGACTTTTATAAAAGGTACTATAAAGAAATGGGAAGGTCTCATACATTTTGGACTCCATTCTAAGCCAAAAAAAAAGAAGAAATACCTCTTAAATACCTGTTTTCTTTGTTCCTGTCAGGTACACGTAAAACCCTGACTTCTACCTTACCACCTCAAAAAAAAAAAAAAAAAAAAAAAAAAAGGAAGACCTATAACATCTAGCAGTCTTCATCTTCCACAGCATTTTCTGAAGCTGATCCCCTTTCAGTTTTTCCCCTTTCAAATACTAATCGCTTGCTTACATAACTTTAGGTTATCTGTAAAATCTTAGATCAGATAGATAAACAATTTCAACTTCAAATTGCTATCAAATTCAATCTAACTGCATAAAACACTGGAGAGGATAAAGAGAATAAACATGGTACTCACTCTAAAGACACTACAATATACCTTTAAGAAAAGTACACCTGAAAGTGGATTCACTGTCCCAAAAAGAATACAGTAACTTGAACATAGAAGAAAATGCATGAATCTCCATGAGACTCTGACAGGTAGAACAGTAACTGAAATAAAAATATTCTCTTCTTAGGAATTAGCCACACAACTTCACCAAAGCACTGTAGTCACCTTATACCCCCAAAACTGTCCGGCTAATCCCAAACTACATACAGCCAAGCCTACCCCAATCAAACAGTAAAGATTCAGCTATTGGCCTCAAGACACCCTACCTTGTCTCCACATGAAGCAAAATTTTACTTAAAGTAAAATGTGCCTACTGTTTCTACTGAGCTAACAAAAATTAGCCTGCAAATGACCACAAACTGAATGACAACTGCTGGTATTAATTAATTTTAAAAAAACACTACTTCTAGGTTTTCAGGAAGTTCATTATAAAAGGCAATTAAAAATAACTTTTTGAGACTTTGGAGACTGAAGACTGAGAAACATAACGATGAATAAGGAACATAAACCTGAAAGAGTTGAGAAGCCAGCTTTGTTAAAAACCAAGGGGCCACTTGCCAACACTTCTTTATGCATATATGACCAAAGATGATGATTCTAGACTATCTCTCGGTCCACATCGGCTTCTCATCAAATCTCGAATTAAGAAGGATCTCATAATCACTTCAATTTTGGAAAGTTAAAAGGACTTTGATAAGCCAAAGCAAAAGATTTTATAAAGCTTCGGAGAATCAATATGGAAACAAAGCTTGAAGCTTTTCCCGATCTAAGCCTCCCCCCCTCAGGCCCACAAAAAGCACACATTTTAAATGTCACACAAACAGCCTATTCACCGGCACCTAGGGCTTAGATTCCGGCCCTGGAAAGGGGGCTAGCTTCAGTTTAAAATCTCAACGGGAAAGAAAAGGCAGAATTCTGACTTGCAACTGACGAAACTCGGGAGAACCCTGTAATCGAACTCTCCGTCTTGGTTAGAACTTCACTCGCAACCATTTTCAGATCAGGGCTCTCGACTCCCTATAAAGGTGTCATCTGTGAGTGAAAAGGCTAATAAGGACACCCCACACACACCCTGGACTCCTGTGCCCCTGATCCGTTCTCAGAGAGTGGAAGCAACAGCAAAGTGGAAGGAACAAAGCACTGACGTCAATTACGAGATTAACCCTGAGCACAGGCAGCTGGAGGAGAGGCCTAAACAGCACTACCCAAAGCCCAGCCATCGCGATCGCCAGGTACCAGGCCCCTTCCGAGTGGGAAGGAGGGTTTCCCGGATTCTAACCCAGATTCCCACATTTTCAGCCAAACCCCATCGACAATCAAGGACGGAGATTCTGCCCCCCCCTTTTTTTCTTTCGGTGGAGGGGAGATGGGAGAGTGGGGGTGGGGGAGGTGCGCAGGATCGCGAGAAGGAAGGCGAGAACTAGTAGAGAGATGATAGCCAGAATCCGGGCCTCTTTTCTCTTTAACTAGGGATGACTTGAGTCGAACCAGGCATAAATTTTTCAAGGGATAAATCCGCTGGCCGAATCTTAGGGAGGAATGGAAGAAGGGACGATAGGGAAAAAACAAAAACAAAAACAAAAAAAAACGGCCAGAAGATGGGCGTCTAGAATGTTGGTTGCGAATGGATTGGCCTTAATTTTTTTTTCTCTTCTTGTTTGAAATTTATTTTGAGAAACTGGGGCAAGGGACAGCGGGCGAAGCCGGATCCAGCGGCCCCTCCCCCCCCCGCCGCCCCGAGGGTCTCCGTGAGCGTCCCCGCGGCCCGAGCCTCGCCTTCCCCGCGACGCGGCCGCGCCTCAGTCAGACGTCAGTCAGTCAGGCGGCTTCTCACCTCCAGTCTCCGCTCCGCTAGGCCCGAACCATCTCCCGACCGCGGCGGCGGCGGCGGCGGTGGCGGCTGCGCCCGGCCTGCACCTTCACCGGACGAGCATTCGGGCCCGCCCAGGAGTCGGCGACCGGCTGCCAAGGGCGAGGGGCAGCGGCGGATCCGGAGGCCGCGGGGAGCCGAGGCGGCGCACCTCACTCGGCGGACGCCAGGGTTCCGCCCCGCTCCATGACGGCCCGGCCGAGCCCGGGACGGGTGACTGAGCCGGTGGCGGCGGGGGCGGGCGGACGGGGCCCTGGCACCGAGATCCCCGCCCCGTCCGCTGGGGGCGGCGGCGGCGGCGGCGGCGACGACTCGACTCCCGCAGCCCGCACTGTGACTGACGCAGTGACTGCGGCCCATGTGACCCGGGACGGGCGGCTGCGAGAGTCACGTGACCAGGCCGCGCCCCTCCCGCAGGCAGCGCGGGGGCTGCCCGCCTGCTTGCTGCTCGCGAGGCGTCGCCCGCGGAGTTGACGTGCGGACTGACGTGCGGTGCGCCCGGGCCCGCGGCCTAGGGAGGCGATGCGCAGGCCGCAGCGGATTCTGCGGGAGCGGCGCCAGCGTCGGGCCGGCCGACCGAGCCCGGCCCCGGGCACACGCCCTCCTGCGCAGCCCGCTAGGGAGGCGCCTCGGGGCGGGGCGCAGCCGGGTCGACCGGTTCTGGGGCGCAGGTGAAGGCCGGGTCCCGGCTGCCCGAGTCCCGCAGCGCTCCGCAGGGCTAGGGAGGGAAGGGTGACGTGGATGGCCGCAGCACGTCGTCCACAGCTGCGTGTGATTTAGTGTGGGAGGATGAGCCGGCCCCCCTGCATCATCTAAAAACAACAACAAAAAACCATCGTGAGTCCTGGCGTCGAAGCAGGCCTGTAATTCCAATACTGCGGTGGCCGAGGCCAGGAGGATCGCCACGAATTCGGCCTCTGTGGGTTTCTTAGTGGATTCAGGGCCTGTCTAAGCCACTAACAAAACCCTGTCGACACAACCGGCGAGCGCAAACACAGTCTTTCTGAATGCTCCCCCTCTTAACATTCTGCCAGCCGGGACAAGACATAATTTAATTGAAATTAAAGATTAGACAGACAAGGTTTTAGAGTCTCCTGGAACCCAGTAATAATACTGCAAGAAAGATGTCCCCTTCGTGTTTATCTGAAAAGCATACCATCCTGTCATTAGTGTCACATGTCACCTAACTTGCTTTTATTTGATGGCGCCAAATGAAGATTCTCCACCACTAACATACTTAAACATGTCACTCGTTATTTTTAAATTAAGTTTTCATATAGTGTAATCTCATAATTTGGGAGTCCAATCTTAACTACACACTAAATTCTAGGCCACATCTCAAAAACACTAAATAGGCCTGGTGGCACACAGTTTTAATCCTAGCACTCTTGAGGCAGAGGCAGGAGTATCGATGTGAGTTTGAGGTCAACTAAATATATACATATCCAGCTCCCAGGCCAGCCAAGGCTATATAATGAGACCCCTGTCTCAAAAAACAAGACAAACACTAAATAAGTGCTAGAATCTAAATTTTCATTTATTTATTTCTTTATTTAGTTTTCAAGGCAGGGTTTCTTTCTGTAGCCTTGGCTGTCCTGGAATTCACTCTGTAGACTAGGCTGGCATTGACCTCGGATATTTGCCTGCCTCTGCTTCCTGAGTGCTTGCATTAAAGACCTGTGCCACCACCACCTGGCCTCAGAAAGGTTCTTGTTCCTCGGTTAATTATCTCTGGATACACCAGACACAGACACACCCAAAGTACCTCAAAAATGTCCCAGGCATTTCCTTAATCTAATCAAGTTAACAATAAGAATCAACACAGCCTGGTGTGATGATACCCAATGCTAGAGAGACACAGTCTTCCCTAGCTCAGGAGAGCCTAGATTTCACTTTGTAGCTGAACATGGCCTTGAATTCCTGATACTCCTGTCTCTGCCTCCCCTGTGCTGGGGTCGAAAATGTGCACCATTATACTTGGCTTAGTAGTTCTAACATTGTTCAATGATCTGAGACTCAGGGCAGTCTTCGTAGGTGCTTCTGTAAAATGAAAAACAAGTTATATCTTCCATTGTATAATGGCATGGAGAAAGCATCCACATTCCAAAAGTGGGAAAATAAGAAAGCAGCAAGGAAAGATCAGACCAAAGTAAGACCAAAACCCAGCAAGGGTAAATGTCAAGTAGTCTTACAGCTTCAGAATTCAGTATCCAGAATTTGTAGTGCCATCATCTGAGTTCCAGGAGACTTGAGTAGTCTGGGATGGGGTGTAGTGGGAAAGCTCTTTCTTAGCACACACACAAGACTTTAGATTCAATCCCTAGTACCACAAACCTCTAGTAGTTCTGCACTATAAAAAGGAAGAGAATCGCTGGGCATTGGTGGTGCACGCCTTTAATCCTAGCACTCAGGAGGCAGAGGCAGGCTGATCTCTGTGAGTTCGAGGCCAGCCCATGAGTTCGAGGCTTGTCAGTGAGATGGCTCAGTGTGGAAAAGCCTGACAATCTATTCCAGGAGCCCAAGGTGGGAGAAGACCGGTTCACGAGAGTCATCCTCTGGCATCTATGCATATCATGTGACTCTCGTAACACATGTAATAATAACATGCAAATAATTGTGTTTTAGAGACAGATTCTCATTATGTTGCCTAGAACTCACCATGTTGATGTAGACCAGGCTGGTCTCAAACTTACAGAGAGAAATCTGCCTGCTTCTGCCTCCTAAGTCCTGAGACAAAAGACATGCACCCTTTTGTCTTTAAACTTTTTAAAATTTAATTATAAGTATGGAGTGTGTGTGTGTGTGTGTGTGTGTTTCTGTGTGGAGTTAGTGCAGATGAGTGCAGCATCTCCAGAAACCAGAAGAAGTTATTGGATTTCCTAGAGTTACAGGTGGGTGTGAGCTGCCCTATGTGGGTGCTGGGGACTGAACTTCAGTTTTTTGCAAAAGCAGTTAGTGCTCTTAACTACTGAGCCATCTCTCCAGTCTTACTTACCACTCCTTTTTTTTGTTTGTTTTGAGACAAGGTTTTACTATGTAGACTTGGCTATATACCATCTATATACCATCACCAGCTCTGACTACACTACTCAGGATTTCATTATGTAGAACACGTTCAGGAGATTGGGATGTACCTCAGCTGGTAGAAGAGTGCTTGCCTCTCATGAAAGTCATGGGTTCCATCCCCAACACTGTACAAAACAACTATGACTTTGCATGCCTACAATTTTAGCACTCAAATGTGGAGGTAAAAGGGTTAAGAGTTATTTGTTTGGTTTTTCAAGACAGGGTTTTTCTATGTAGCTTTCTGTGTTCTGGAACACGCTCTGTAGACCAGGTTGGCTTCAGTACTGGGATTAAAGGCATGTTCCATCATGACCTGGCAAGGATCAAGAATTTAAGATTATTTTCAGGTATAGAGTAAATTCAAGGGCACATGAGACATACACCTTTGTCTCCTCCCCCCAGAAAAGAGAATTTCAGGATGAGTCAGTTCAGAGTCAAGTTAGTGAATTCATTGAGAAAAGTTTTTGCTTGTTTGAAATAGTCTATTAATACAGTCCAGGCAGGTCCTGAACGCCTAACCTTTTTGCCTCTACCTCCTAAATGCTAGGATTACAATGTACCCAGCCATGTCAGCTTTAAGTGTTTTTATCAATGGCCACATATACAATCTTGTCAGCTTCTGAAGATACATTTTAAAAAGGTTTCTAAGAAACTTTGTTTCTTTTAGTTAATCAGATCCTAGGTCTGTTCCTGAGGTGCTAAGGATATGGGTAGAAGCTGATAAGATTAAGCTACAGACCTGAGTTGCAGAATGTCTTAACCATTAAGATCACTTGCTGCTCTTTGTAAAGGACTCAGGTTTGGTTTCAGACACCCACATGGCAGCTCACAACTGTCACTCTAGTTCCAGGGACAACACCCTTTTCTGGCCTTCATGGGCACTGGTCGTGTATGTAGTACACAGACATACGTGTAGGCAGAACATTCAATCACACACACCATACAAAAAGTTTAAAAATCTAAAAACAAATAATCCATTGGTCACAGAAGTTTGGGGAATCCTTACCATACTAGGTCACAGTTCAGAGTGTTTTAATCATAAAGTTTGCAATCTTGATTGTGAGATTTTCAGAAAATTACAAGGTCACAGCTAGCCAAGAAATAAAGTTAAACTCAAACATTACATGAGATCAGGCCTTAAAAAATGGTTGCTGCTGGGCGTTGGTGGCGCACGCCTTTAATCCCAGCACTTGGGAGGCAGAGGCAGGCGGATCTCTGTGAGTTCGAGGCCAGCCTGGTCTACAAGAGCTAGTTCCAGGACAGCCTCCAAAGCCACAGAGAAACCCTGTCTCGAAAAACCAAAAAAAAAAAAAAAAAAAATGGTTGCTGCTGGGGTTTTTTTTCTTTTTTTCTTTTTTTTTTTTTTTTTTTTTTGGTTTTTCGAGACAGGGTTTCTCTGTGGCTTTGGAGGCTGTCCCGGAACTCGCTTGGTAGTCCAGGCTGGTCTCGAACTCACAGAGATCTGCCTGCCTCTGCCTCCCGAGTGCTGGGATTAAAGGCTTGCGCCACCAACGCCCGGCGGTTGCTGCTGTTTTAACTCTCTTATTTACTAAGGCTTACCAAATAACTGCCAGCCCTCAGGAGGCAGAGGATCCTATGAGTTTGAGGTCGGCCTGTTCCAAGACAGCAAGGGATACAAAGTGAGACTCTGCTCCAAAAAAAGAAATAAATTAATTAAAAGATTTTTAAAAGAATTTTGTCTCTATGTACATGATATCAATAGTGAATTTTGTTATTTGTGACAAAATACTTGACTGTCAGCCCTTGAGAGGCTCAGGCAGTCTCAGATGAAAGGGACTCAATTCCTCTCCTTCCTCCCTCCAGCTCTCCCTTTCCTTTCTCTTGGTCCTGTCCCAGTACCACAGCCTGTGAGGTTTTTGTTGTTGTTTCTTTCCTATGCCTGATTTCTGCTTTTCACCCTCACTTGATGAGCTCCTTCATCTGTTTCTGGTTTCTGAGAGGTGACACAGATCTTATCTTCAGACCTTTTCTCTGTTTCTGTTATCTTTATCTAGTCATCAGGGTCAGCAACTTTTTCTGAAAGGCCTAAGATTTTTAGTACTTTTTTTTTTTGCTATCATTACTTTTTTGAGACTCAGTAGTGTCTTTTTCTTCTACAAGTTTTATTCTTTAAAAACAAAACAAGTCATAATAAAAATTGCTGCTGCCTGAGTTACGAACTGTGAAAAAGGCAGCCTGAGTCACAAGCGAGAAATACTGTGTGAGCCTGGGTAACCACTTCCATATCAGCATGTCCATTATCTCACAATGTGACTGCCTGCAGAGATGGCTAAATGGTTGAAAACACTGGCTGGAGGACCTGGGTTCACTTCCCAACACCCACATGGCAGCTCACAACTGTCTGTGACTCCAGTTCCAGGGGATCTGACTCCCTCACACAGAAATATCTGCAGGCAAAAACTAGTACACATAAAATAAGCAAGTTATGAAAAAAGAAAAACTCTGCAATAAGATAGCTGGCTATTTCACGCATCTGATGAAGTGGATTTAGACAGGTCAAGTGAGAGAGAGAGAGAGAGAGAGAGAGAGAGAGAGAGAGAGAGAGAGAGAGAGAGAGAGAGAGAGAGAACTCTATCAGGATGCAGGAGGATGGAAAGAGATAATTCTGATCCTGAGGTCTCAGTCCTGGATCAGGAGATAATTGAGGTAGTTTCCTGACTCCAAGGAAATGCCAGAATGACTTTGTCAGTCTCCAACCTGCAGGTCACTCAGCCCACAGTTGGGATGCATTTTAAAATACCACATGGAGCTACTTCAATCTATTCTGTAATGTTTTCAGTAAATCTGGGGGCAACTTAAAAAATCTATTTTATGTGCCTATCTGTGTGTGTATATATGTGTGGAGATCAAAAGACAACTTGCAGTGGTCTGTTTTCTCATTCTACCGTGTGGGTCCCAGGGATTGAACTCAGGTTGTCAGATTTGTCAACAAGTGCCACTGAGCAGTCTATCTTGCAGGCCCAAAATTATCTCTTTAATTTTTTACTGCTTTATTTATTTATTTAATGTGTGTAAGCTTGTGATGGTGAATTGTATAGTCAACTTTATTTTTTATCTTTCTGAGACAGGGTTTCGTTTCATAGCTCAGTGGAATTTATTATGTACTCCAGGCTTGCCTCAAACTCATGACAATCCTCTTAAGCCTGG